GGACAGGCGAGAAGAGACGAGGAAGAAATGCATGAATAATTGACATGTCGATTGTCGCCACGGTGATTACCGGTATGGGAGTTACACATAAAACATATTTACATTATTGAATTGTATATTTACATGTATCCTTTGTTGAGAGTTTATAATATTTCTATTTAAAAACCAAAACAATAAGAAAGGTCAGGAATGGATACCTTTACCTTGACAGTCGTCCCTCAAAACTTGTCTCAGGTGTAAAATACTCAGATTTAAATTTAAAATTAGATGTGAGATTTTTAGCTGAATTGCGAGTAGACAAGTGTAATGTCGCATACTGTTAAATATTGGAGGGTCAAATTTAAACCAATTTCTTGAGTTAAATAATATTTAGTTATTTTTAACTATCATGTGTGTCAAAATTTACTATTTTAACACAAAACATGTGTTTAAAAAAACAACCACATCTAATCAGCCCATTTAAAACACAATATTAAGTCATTTTTTAAAACAAAGGTTACATTAACGTATGCACATAATAAAAATTAATTAAATTTCAGTCAAATTTAATTAACTGATTCGTATGATAGGATTTAAATGTAAGAAACTCAAGTTTAATTTTATATTCAGATCTGAGTGTTCCACGTGGGATAAGTTTCAAGTATAATTATTCGTATGGATCTAATTAGCGTATAACCAAATGCGCAGTTACACGTTAAATACATAACTGATGGAGAAACAATTAAGCGAGTTAATGAATACATCACGAATTGCATTTATTTAGCGCATATTTGGCAACTTGAGTTTAGTAATTCGGTCAACGTGTTAAGTGTCTGAAAACTATGGGGATTCTCTCGAGCGGAAAGTCCAGCGACCTAATGAAAAGACACTGCAACTTTTCCACTCCTGTATATCCTGAGCGTGCCGCTGAGCGTTGCATTCGCCATTATACTCCAAGTGGATCAAGGTTCCGTGGAACTATCAACGTAACGTAACTAACTATCTTGATACGCAATGACAGCGCAGCTTAATCGCTATCATTCGATCAAGGTAGTCTCGCCACTCTAATTAATTAATATTACAGCCTAGAAACAAATGAAAAGATGATAACCGGTCTCGGCGGCATACGCGACGTCATCCTCGATCCTTCGAGCTATTTCTGGCGAGACGAGGCTCTCGTGCGTTTCGGCGACTACTCGATGGGATCGCGAAGGCGAATAGCATCCTCTGTCCGTGTTCTCGTGCGCGAAATGGACGTGAACATTTTTTTCCAAGCCGCTCGCTTGCCTCGTGTCGGATCACCCTTCCCTGTCAACCTACAGCCCCCATTTCTCCGTGGGAAGACTCGTGCGCGACGAAAGACTCGGAAGTGGGACACCTTCTCTCATCGCGTTAGAGCATCCCGCGAACGACGGGGACGTAGAGAGACAGAAGGGAAAGGAAGAGAAGTCTAGAGTGAGAGTACCTGTGCACGCTGCAGCGCTGAGAGGTGTCTCACCCCTATCTAGAGGAGGGAAGACGAAGGACTCGATTTGTCATTCTGTTAAATCCGTAGTGTCAAATTATATTCAATTTGAGTTATTTTTAACCATTCCTATAAGTCGCCACTGCTCCTATTAAATATGTCGTTAATTTAACTAATGTAATGGAGTTAAATAATTTAACTTAAGAAATATATTAAATTTGACTGAAATTTAATTAATTTTTATTATGTGCATACGTTAATGTAACCTTTGTTTTAAAAAGTGACTTAATATTGTGTTTTAAATGGGTTGATTAGATGTGGTTGTTTTTTTAAACACATGTTTTGTGTTAAAATAGTAAATTTTGACACACATGATAGTTAAAAATAACTAAATATTATTTAACTCAAGAAATTGGTTTAAATTTGACCCTCCAATATTTAACAGTGTGGCGAGAAAATTCGTCAATACGCTTTATTTAAGAGATATCATGGTGCATACATACCATAACAGTCGCGCGAGTTGACGGCTGCGATTAGTAATTTCGATAATTTGATGAAAGCTTGCGATAATTATCAAGTGTCGCACGCGCTGAGACATTTTCTCGGTCTTTAACGTGCTCTTCTTCACTGAGAAGTATTATGGTCAGTAAAAGCCGTCCAGAGAGAGGTAAATGGCTGCGATCAATAATCTCGATAATTTGATGAAAGTTTGCGATAATTATGAAGTGTCGCACGCGTTGAAATATTTCCTCGGTCTTTAACGTACGTCTCTTTACTGGAGGAGTATTATGACCAATAAGAGCCGCGCAAGTTGACAGCTGCAATCAGTAATTTCGAAAATTCGATGAAAGCTTGCGATAATTATGAAGTGTCGTATGCGTTGAAACTTTTTCTCAATCTTTAACGTACGCGGGACATTGTTTGTTGCCAGCCTCCAATGTCTGAAGAAAATTCAAAATTACTTATTACAGAACCCAATATTTATATCTTATATCTAATGTAGATATATAAGATATAAATATTAGATTTTGCGTAGCAAGTAATTTCGAGTGTTTCAAGTCAAATTGAATGATTATATTTCTCTGTTATTGTAATGCTATGAAACAATGTATGCGAGGGATATCGGAAGATTAATCACAAGTCAAAACGGCACATCGTATCGTTTCATGAAATCGCAACAACATAGAAATACGACCATTTTATTTTATTTGAAAAATCCGAAATTAATTTGCTATACAATTATACGTATTATTAACTCCTTGTCTTTTCTCTCACGTTCCTTCCACGAAGACCAGCGAATACTCGAACACTTTTTGCGCTGATATGAATCAATACTCTTTGATATCATCGCTAATTCTGAACTCGATTTCCAAGTCAGGACGAATTCTGTGGTTCGACTTAATTGATATTCCTTCTGCATCGACCGAATCGGTAAACCGAAATTACTCCACCATGTCCAACGGACTCGCTCAGGTTATCGCACACTGGACACCGTCCGAAATTCGAAACCACTCCTGGAGAGTGGCTGATACAGCTAGGTGGGACACCCAATGGCCACAACCAGGACGGGCATCAAGAGGGACGGTGCAGCAGGCCCAGAAGAGAAGAACGGGGAGAGGGGAACGCGTGAAGAGAAGGAGGGAGTTGGATTGCTGCTCGTCGACGGGCGCACGACGTTTGGATCGGACTGACTACCTAGCGATCCGCAGAAGACCGGCTGCCTCCGAAGGAACCGGTTGTGGTCGATAACCTGTCCCCGTCTTGACACTGGGTCGTCTCAGCCGAGCAGAGCGATCTGTTAATCGCCGGCGCGACTGTTGAAGCCTCGCTGGTGCTCGAGGAGGTCGACGACAACAACGACGGACCCATCCAGTGCACACCATGAGCGGGCGGAGCGTGGACGTCGTTTGGGACCCACAGACCCAGATGAACTCGTTGGACGGCTGGGATTATTCCATCGAGCTCGCGTGTCTTCAAGGTCCCGAAGGTACGCGCGGAGGTAGGCGGAGATGTAGCCATTCATACGGAAATAATTAACGACCACGACGACAGTAGCAAGAGGCGGACAGTGGCCACAGTGGTGCGATTACCCGAACGAGTTGCGGCCGCATATAAATCGGACAGTGGAGTTGTTCCATTAGGAACGGGAAGAATAGCCACACTAGGGCACGGGTCGAAACCCCTCGTGAAGAATGTATTCGTCATTCTGGCGAACATTAACGAGTCGTGAGGTGCTGTGATCGGCAAGATGGAACTCAGTTGAGCAGAAGTGATAATATCAGGGGAAGAGGGAGAGGACATAATCACAATCATCGATCGTAATCGGTGATTAAGGTCCCTATTGATAGTTGTCATTTGGAACTTGTTTCTGTGAGATACTCAGATTTTTACTCAGAGTTAAATCCAAGTCTGCCAATTAAATTGTATGGTGTATGTGACATTGTACGGCCCGTATCGATATAATCGTTATTTGAAACTTGCCTCAACTGAGATACTTGGATCTTTTAGAATTTAATTTGAGTTTATCAATTGAGTCATATGACATTATATTCGTAATCGCGATTTAGCTGAAAAATTGACATCTAATTCTAAATTGAAATATGGGTATGTCACTTGAAGTAAGTTTCAAGTAACGACTATTAATACAGATCTGGCTATAAATTATGAGCTATTAATTAATGCTTTTTCCTTAGCGTGTGAAATCTTAAAAAATGGAAAACTTAACTCGTAAATATCTACTTTTCATGAGTTTATATAGGAGAAAAGATTCACAATCGCCTTCAAGTGGCGCAGGATTATTCACTTTTCACGATTTCATAGTAGGAAAAAGAATTACATGATTGACAAATAAGATCAAGTTTACGTGAAAAGATTCATAATTAGTAGACTGTGATCACGATTCATCTGAAGAGCTCTTATCTAACTCGGAACTCAAGTCTGAGTATCTCGCTCGGGAGACGAGTTTTGAGTAATAACTATTAATATGGCACTAAGAGAGTATTTTTACACTTCGTTCTCGGTAAAGACTATGTTTACTATGTATTCCTGTGTACAAGGTTATGCGTGACTCCTCTATGATTCAACGAGTGTTGTCGAGAGACTGTCGCGGAATTTTCCTGTCCGCCGCGCGAGTTAACGCATCCGTAAGCATCTTCGCGCGAATTTCTTCTTTCTCGGGGCTGCGTTGGTTCACCGCGAAATCGAGCAAACGGTAGCTCGCTCGTTTGCTCACCACGAAGGTCCTTGGCCCTTGCCGGTGTCAGAAGGGAGTGCCGCGAGCGTCCCGCGTTGCCTCGGAAAGCAACGACCTGCGTCTACCTGCATATTCTGGATTTCTTCTCTCTTTTTTCTTCTGTCGCTCTCTCTTTCTTTTTCTCTCCCCCTCTTCCTCTCTCTCTCTCTCTCTCTCTCTCTCTCTCTCTCTCTCTCTCTCTCGCGTGCGAATATTTGATACGGTTTAGATAGATTAAAGTAAGAGTGCGCTCATGAGCGATACTTTCGATCGATGTAATAGGTGTTTATGTAAAAACAAACACGCTTCTCGTGTTCTGTGCAGATCTTCAATTGGCAGCGGAGCTCGGCAAGACTCTACTGGAACGGAATAAGGAGCTGGAGAATATCATCAAGCTGCACCAATCCACCGTGGAGGAACAGGCACAGGAGATCGAGGTTACTATGTTATATCTTGTGTTGGTGCAAAAGATCTGCCGTTTTTCTATAAAATCGTAAAAAGTTTGCGCATTTAAAGGAAAATAGGAGGTTGTCGTTGGCTGTATAAAAAATGCGAGTCAATTTGTTCATTTTGCTTGTAAAAAAAACGATTAAACCTTCGAAATCGGATAATTCCCTTTCCTATTTTATTTGACGAACATGACGAACCTTTTGCACCGACCTAACAATATTGCGTTTTGTGATCAGTGATTTCGAATTTTTCAGATAAAACTAAACGCTTTCACATTTTTTCGTCGTTATAATTTTATGAAACAACGTATACAAAGATTGATAGACAATTACAGATAAATATGGCGCGTACATTCTCCATAAAATCATAAAAAAAAATACAAACGTTTTATTTTACCTGAAAAATCCGAAATCGCTGATTACGCATGGAGAGAATTTTATAGCAAGAATTACTATAGAATTTTGTAACCGAAGGAAATAGGTCGACATTTTGTAGTAATTTATTATC